TGAGAGAGAGAGAGAGATTTGACAAAATCAATTTTTAAAATAAATTGAAGGATACATTAATGCCTTGCTCATCGCCAACCTCCTTCTGTAGCTTGTTTATATTCTACTAGAATAATTGCCATCGGTTTTGTCCCAAAGGTCTTGCCGTTTTTCAACTGCAGCAACGAGTGCTTCCATGTCGTTTGAATAAAAAAAATCATGCAATGAAATGCAAGGGGTGAAAGCCGAACGCAGACCTGTCACTCTTCCTGATTTAATCGAGATATCCCGATTTAAAAAAAAAAAAGTAATTAGCCTCAAACCTCGTGCATCCCGATTTTTAAATTCCGTCTAATACGTCGGAAACATCCATTAAACTTTTAGTCAGCGGGAACTTGAAGCATTACATTGTCCGAAATATCGATGTCAGATTAAGTAGTGAACTCGTACCCCAAGTTGCATTGGGCTCGCACGCGTTGTTTCAATTTTAACGGAAGTAGTATCAATGAATTGGCATTAATCCGACTTGGGATTCTCAACGCTTTTGTTACCACTCAGAATTCTCCGATGATGTCCTAACAACGGATAAAATAGCGACATACAATTAATGATCAATAGATCTATTATTCGTAATTCTGCTGTTGTTGTTACTATCAAAACAAGCTTCGTCCGAGCTCTCGTTAATCTGACCCGTCATCAAGACCCGTCAGTAAAACTGTTTCAATCGTTCGCATCACGTGACATGACCTGGCCGGGGACAGTCCGTTGACGGGGTCAATGTAAGTTCATTCACACTGGTTGAAGGAAATGTCTTTCTCGGGACTATTCCGGCGGGGGGGGATTTTTAGACCTTGGTCTAGGAATGCTTGACATGATACATTTACCAAAGATTCTCAACTGGAGGCAGTAGAGGATCTTTGGTAATACTTCACAGGATTTTAACTAAATACATGTAAGGATCACACACACACACACACACACACACACACACACACACACACACACACACACACACACACATACACACAGAGAGGGCATAATGTATGATTTGCCGTCGATCCCCATTTTTTTCATCAGATCTCAATTTTGTTCCCCAAATATCCTGACTTTTAGATTTCACAGAGTGGCAGGTATGTGGCAAACTGATCTCTAATCTCTGTTTTGAAAAAGGACGGGAAACGTGACGCCGATAGTGAAACAAATAAAAGAGCCCTCCTCGTTCTCTCAGTAGGGCTGGACAGGTACCGGTACCCAGTACCGGAACTCCCGGTTCTACCGGAGGAGTGTCAGTACCGGCACCAGGCCTCCCTCAGGTACCGGGAAAGGAGCCGACACCATCGTTTTTTATCGACCCCGGGGAAGTGTGCAGAGTGTAGGCTTACGCCGAGGCCTAGCAGCTGTGACGTCAGATGCACAACGCAGCGGGTGACCTTGATAAATGACTTCAGATTCAAAATTGACAATCAAAAACAAAGTTTGCTTCAGTTTAAGTATGGCATAAAATCATGTTCTGCGCGAGCCACTTT